CTAGTGTTAAGATTACCAGATTTGATCATACCTAGCTTTTAAAAAAACCTGATAGAAAGTGGTAACCATCGCATATAGACATGAGCAGAACTATGGACATAACAGAGTATACTGTTTCGCACATGATACCCCCCCATGCGTTGTTTTTCCTGAGTACTAAGGTGTTATTCCTCTGTACCCTGTAAATTCACTGCCATATCCCCCCCTTTAAACCGAAACAGCCGTGCAAACACAACTGCTTCACGATAGAAACACGAATAGGACAGAGGTAGTCAAGCCATTATAAAATTTTGTACAAAGTCTCCCTCTGGTAATATTTACATTATTATTGTCGATTTCATTACTGAAAGACTCATCGTTTTAGAAACGTGAATATTTAAAGAAAGATTGCCACATTACCTAATGTTTTTCCAACGAATAAATAAAATCTAAGTGATTTACAAAAGCTGAAACATTTGTAAATAAACAGAACGGGCGCGAGTTTGCCTATAGTTTAGTCTCGAGTGGTCCGTTTCTTGAATGGTTCTCCAAAATAGATCGTATTGGCAACAGCGTGTATTTATAACAGTTTATTGTATGTACTCGAATATTATAACGGTTTAATATCAACAAGTTTCGATAAAAATAGGTATTCCGTGCCTGAATGCAAACAATACATGCGATATAGTTACAATAGACAGATGACCACAAGGGTTAAAAAACTCGCTACACACAAAATCATATTAAGATTTGCTTTGTATATTTATTTGTTAAAGTTTAATACACTTGAGAGGGAGAGTGTAAATGGCGGACTTAACAATCTATGGCAGGGGGGAGGGATTATTATTAATGTGGGATATCATTCCCATTGCTAGGACGTGAATTTTGAGCCTGTCAGGTTAAAATTCACGTAGTTCACTCTGGAAACAATTGTGCTAAATTCCTGGTGTATTCATTACGATGGGCTAACTGACCTGCATTGGGGGAAGGAATTGTTAACAATGGAGTTTGACAGCCCCATTGCTAACAATATACCCAACCAGGTCGACCTCCTCACGGTTCCTCCTGGAAACTACCATGGTTAATTCCTAATGAATTCATCATGATGGGCTAACTGGCCTGTTTTTATTCTCATCTATCACTCTTCACTAGTGCTACGCCAGCATATCCCGTTAGCGCAGGCAGGACCGTACCATACCATTTACACCCATAAAAAAAATTTACTTGCAAGCTTAAATAAATATATATTTGGATGTAAAGTATGATAAAACAAATTGCGATTAAGTTGACGACGAAAAATGGTAAAAAGCAAACTAAAAGATATCTATGTATCTTCTAGTTTTGATAGAGAAAAATAATTATCCAACCTTAGCTTCTAGTTCAGTAAATATTAAAATGCTTCGAGCCCAGAAGCAATAGAATGCTTCAAGCCCAGAAGCAGTAGAATGCTTCGTGTGAATTTTACAGTTCACGTTACAGTCGCGTTCACGTTTACATCAGTGTTGTATAGAATACTGAGTTTCGGAAACTCAGACTTTCTTCTATGCAAAAGACCAGAAGCACTGTTAAGATTTCAATACAAATTATTTACGTAAAGGTGAATGTAAATGTTTGTAAGACTATAGGTATTCTGATGCATTCCTAAAAAGTGACTACCACAAGAGAAGCTTTTCTGGTACTATAGGAAGCCACTGTTAAAGAAATTTTGCAATATGTACGATTATATATATATCAATATGGGCCAAGATGCTCGATTCAAATAAATACACTTAATGATAAAAGAGATAAGATTCAAAAAAGCAATTTAAATCAATCGTAAACTAATTTGCAAAGAAATGTATCTCCAAAGCTGGCATGAATGAGATTAGATATGAAAGTCGATGAAACAAAAATGTAGAGGACAGATCCTTGGCACTCAGTTCTGTCTGTCCCGTAGGAGACCTTGCGTGAATACAAACACATAAAACAAATTATCTCTTTGTAAATGTTGAATGTAATGGAGTAAATAGTGAACTACAAATTAATCTCACACGATTTATATTTGCAATTGAAAGAACTTTTCAGTCTAAATGCCAGTGCACGAGGGCCAATAAGCTCTGCGTTCTTGTGTCTTTCTCGTGCTGAAACTCTGTCACAATCACCCTAAGTCCAACGAATAAAGTTGACAATCCCGTGTTACATTGAAAAGAAAGCTTGCCGGGATTACGGGCCACCATTTTTTAGTTTGCCACAACAGAAACCCAAAATATAGAACAATAGGGTTCAGAATCGAAAGGGATTGTCGTGAAGAAAGTTTGTTAGATGGACAAGCCGGATAGGCCGGTCTAAATGCGTCCACGTCTCTGGCACGGCACTGGGGCAAGGACGCTTAGCGCCGATGCAGTCGGCATATTGATTGACCGATTAATCTTTACCATAAGACATTTTAAAGACTCGTAAAAAAATCATTTCAGAAGATCATTTAGCAATATGGAATAAACAATATCAGTGTTAATAGTATCATTGCGTTGAAGAACAGTATGGTATATTGTTCCGAACATAATTCCGCTTAGACTGGAGAATTTAGAGAAAAACAAGACATCATTGAATTACTTGTTATACATATGAACAAGTCTGTCATAGAAAAATTATTGCAGTCATCTCCGTTTGTAATTATATTGACTGTTGACGTAAAACAACGTTGTATTTTAAATAATGTGCAAGATTTATCAGTGAGTCTAGTAGTATTAAAATGTCTGTTCGTGAGACATTTAAAATTTGTTTTACTGTTACCATTATGGCGTTTATATTGGCATCTTTTATGGGACCCAATTTAACATTACCATGTGCAGTTTGCGCGTATTTACATAGCTCGTTGGCAACTCTATCTACAGGTTTATTGTGATTTTCCTTTTGAATACTAGCAGTAATATTTAGTTTAACGATTGGCTTTTGTTTTGTATCACTGACACTGTACGATGTAAACAATGGGCACGTGGTGTCGTGATGCGTCCGGGTTAGGGCATAGTTATTTACACGTGAACAGGGGACAATACAATGGGGACGATTGAGAAACGATTACTGAAAGTATTACGAAACGGTTCCGATCGACGAGTGGTGTATGCCGCGCGCGATCCGAGCGTGCGTCGCCCGTCGTACGATATCCGGGACTACAAGCTTACTGCTACAACACGCTGCGTACGCGCATGCCAATTTTATATTTCTACTTGTGCGATCCATCTCGTGTTTTGGCTTTGATTTACGGGGGTTGAATTATTACCGGATATCGTCTTGCGTCTACGCGACAATGAAGCAAACAACATTTTTGTAATAACAGGAAAATGTACTTCCGTCCATTTTTTTTTTCTTTGGATTAGTAAGGCAAGGTTGTCTGTTCCGAGAGTTAAATTTTTCTTTATAAAACGATTCTTTGACTATTTATGACCCTTTATAACAAAATAAATTTAAAAATATTTATATATGATTTATCAAGTTTTGGATGTAAAAACAGGGTACGCATATTTGGAAACGGAATAAATATTGTTTGATGCAGCTTAATACATATACTATATTGCCAATGTGTAAGATAACGTATTTTAGTTTTTGTTTATTTTGTTAATTGTTGCACTAGTACTTGCTTAGTAATTCATAGTGGATGCCAATAACTTATTAACTTATCAATAACTTATTATATATGTAAACAAAATAAACATATTATGAACACTATAAGATAAAAACATAAGATTTCGCTTACCTAAGTATTAAGTGCGTTGAGTCAGTAAAACAACCGTGTCGATGTAGCCGCGACAGTGGATTTAACGTTAGCATTTTAATGTCGCAAATACGGCGACAACGGAGTGCAAAGGGTTAAATTATATATACAGCCTTGTTGTAGTTACTCTTTATCAATATTAAATACTAAAGGGGGTTGGTAAATCCCCATAATACTAAAGGGGGTTGGGGCTGTGGCCCCTTAACACAGGTTGATATATTAACCTATTCAGGAGCACAGTTCTAAAACCACAACTACTGTACCCTTATAAAACTAGAATATTAATATTAATTAAGAAACTACAGTTGTTTTTTACAAATAAATCTCATTTCATTTCATGAACTGCGACAGACAGTTGCGATCAGACGAATCCTATGCTCATTAGCGTCTTTAATATTAAATCCAGAACAGAATATTCAATATAATAAAGAAGAATAAGTATTTTAAATTCAAATTAAATAGTTCTCACATACACCAGAGGAAGACTTTGTATAAAAGTGGTTTGCGTGGGCACATTTTTTTTATACAACATAGAATGGCAAACAAGCTGACGGCCCACCTAATGAAAAGTGGTAACCGTCGCCTATAGACATGAGCAGTACCATGGACATAACAGAGTATACTGTTTCGCCCATGATACCTCCCATGCGTTGCCTCATCCTGAGGACTCAGCTGTTATTCCTCTGTCCCTGTCCTTTTCGTTTCCCAAAACCTATAATGAGCTATAATAATTATTATAATAATAAAATTCATTTTACAAATTTAAAAACTACAACATTAATTGAGCGATTGAAAAATTTTGAAGTACTCGAGATATCAACTCACACTTTTTTGTATGTGTGATTTTCAATGAATAATACTGGTACAGTATACGCTGGGGGAGCACCAGTGAGGGATGATAGGTGAGAATCAAAAGGCACATCAGTTGGTACATGATGAATACACGTGGGATTCAGCACAATGGTTTCCAGGGGGGCCACGTGGAAGTCGACCTGACAGAGTATATTGTTAGCAATGAGACTGGTAGTCCGCATTACTAATAATCCCTTCCCCCCATTTGTATGTGTGGTATAGCTAAGCGTGTACAGTCCGTTGTCATTTCATTTGATATCCATATATTCCCATTTTTGTAAATATTAAAACGTTAAAAAAATAGTAAAAGAGATTACAATGGGTATTAAACTTCATGCTGCAGCAAAAAACAGATTACTACTGGAAAGAAGAGTAGGTAAGACAGGTGGTAACAATAAATAAAATTACATACTGCAAAACGGAATTATAACATTTATTTCATTCAAGTTTACGATACGAAATCATTTTAAATAAAATCAAACAACATGGCAACACAGTAACTAATATATGAATTTAACATATTTTAAAATAAATATAAATAGTTCATCAACAAAGTAACAAACCAAAAGGAGACTTTGTACAAAAGTCGATTGCTTGGACACCTCTGCCCAATTCGTGTTTCAACCGTGAAGCAGTTGTGTTTGCATGGCTGTGTTTCGGTTTGAAGGGTGGTATATGGCGTGAATTTACTGGGTACAGAGGAATAACACCAGAGTCCTCAGGAATGGCAACGCATGGGGGGTATCATGGGCGAAACAGTATACTCTGTAATGTCCATGGTACTGCTCATGTCTATAGGCGACGGTTACCACTTTCCATCAGGTGGGCCGTCAGCTTGTTTGCCATTCTAAATTGTATAACAAAAATTTAATGTCAATTATATAATTGATTGCCACAAACAAACATAACTAGGTGATTGCACATTATATATATACATATATAAGGCCTATAAAATCAAAGACAGCTAAATCCAAGTCTGTCAAATATTCAGGAAACTAGAAAAACTAATACTTTGTCAAGGATATGGAACGATATTCTATATTTTAAATCCGCTTTGAAAAAAAAATTGAAAATTAGTAATAATTTGAATTTTAAATAATAGAACTCCTTCTATATTCAAATACAGAGTGAAAATTAAATCAAATCTTATTGCCTTTGATTTTATACGCCTCATATCGTCATAGTCGTATAATACTGACGGATCTGACAAAGAATTGTTTAATATGATGCCCACAGCCACTTTCTACCATCGTACGGCTCGCCATCGACAGGGAGTTCATCCTCATGTCCTACAGCCTCAATGGTCGCATACTGCGCGGTTTCAGAGATGTTTCCTCCCACGAACACTCACGTTGTGGAATGAGCTCCCTGCCGATATTTTCCCAAGAGACTACAGCATGGGGTTCTTCAAAAGGGGGGTAAAGAGGTTTCTTCAGGGTCGGCAACGCACGCGTAATACCTCTGGTATTGCAGGTGTTCATAGGCTACGGTAACCACTTACCATCAGGTGGGCCGTATGCTTGTTTGCCACCTCAGTGGTATATAAAAAAAAAGATTACATATAAAGATCCGTCAGTATTCTACGACTATGACGATATATTGTACAACAGCGCAAAATATAAATTATGACTAAAATATTGCATTCACAGATCACAGCATGATGTAAAGTAAACTGTTATTTAAAAGGATGAATAAACAGATTCTAATGTAATAACTACTGTAACTTACCTGTAATTAGATCGAGAAAGCTCGACCTTAAGGGTCCTGAATTGGTCCTGAAACTAGTAGTTTTTTTTTTTAATGGATGATAATGGAATGGTAACCCCGCCTGCGCTAACGGTATACACCGGCGGGGCACCAGTGATAGATGATAGGTGAGGATAAAAAGGCAGGTCAGTTAGCCCATCGTGCTGAATTCCAATACACTTAGAATTCAGAACGATGGTTTCCAGGGGAGACCACGGGGAGGTATGTTATTAGCAATGGAACTGGTAATCCGCATTACTAACAATCCCTTCTCCCCCCGAAACTAGTAGTTATTACATTAAATTATAATCTGTACTTACGAAGCTTAATAATAACAAAGGAGATTACTGGACTTTAAGGTATATTATTATGTTAAAATAAATGAAGATAGTTCTATATCGTATACACATTTATATGGACAGCAGCATCCCTTTTAAAACATCTCCAAAGCCTAACTACGATTGCTAATCCGCTTGCTAAGCGTGGCAACAACAAAATCCTCCAAGGGCGAAGATTATCTCCAGCAGTGTACAGTGCAAAATTGATATTAATAAATGATGAAGTAAATATTTAATACTTTGCGTTACATTATTGTAACTTACGTAGGAATGTCTGATTTTTTAATTTTTTTTTAGAACACAGAGGGCAAACGAGCATGCGGCTCACCTGATGGTAAGTGACCATCGCCGCCCATGGTCACTCACAACACCAACGGCATTGCAGGTGTGCTGCCGGCCTTTTAAAAAGGAATATACTCTTTTCTTGATGGTTGTGATGTCATATAAAAATAATTTATAGCCTATGTTACTGGCTGATAATGTAGCTTCCTTTAGTTGAAAGATTTTTTTAAAATACGTCGAGTATTTTTGGAGTTTATTTAATACAAGCAAACAAAAAAATCAAATCTTCCCTCTTTATCATACTAAATACAGATTATATCGATTTTTTAAGTTCCTCACAGCGTGTTTATGTTATTCTGAATTCCGTCAAGCCACAATTACATAGAATTAATTGCAAAAATATACAATTTTGTACTTATATTATTCTCTACTAACTATATTTGAGTGCCTAGTAACTTTAAGGTATATTTATTGTTACGCTAGCGACCCGCCCCGGCTTCGCACGGGTACAATACTGATACTAAATAGCCCCTCCCCCCATTACATTACGACATTACATTAGAAACCTCTGTTTCTCTACTACATTATGCATGTATTATACATATAAACATTCCTCTTGAATCACTCTATCTATTAAAAAAAACGCATCAAAATCTGTTGAGTAGTTTTAAATGTTTAAGCACACATAGAGACAGACAGACGGGAAGCGACTTTGTTTTATACTATATAGTGAAATTCTTAATACTGTTTGAGACTTAAAATTGAATACACTACAATATTACAATAAACAAAGCAGGCAGTAATTATCTACATACGTGGGGGCATAAGGCACAGCCCAGGATATACAAGGTGGAGGGGCAGGTTGGCCAAAACGGAAACAGCTGATTCAGATGGCAGATTTATTTATATACTCTTTATTGCACTTGTAAAATACATATAAAATAATGTATTTATAAATGTTGTGAGCAAGGGTGGACTTATCTCTGACAGAGATCTCTTCCGGTCAACCCAGTACAGTGAGAAAGCATTTCGTTAGCGGGCAGCTGAAGTGCTACAACTATTAATACATAAATAAATATACAGTTAAATAATTTATTTTCCCGCCGGAAATGTACCACAATTATATAATTAACGATTCTTAGATTTTTTTTAATGGATGATAATGGAATGGCAACCCCACCCGCGCTATCGGTATACACCGGCGGGGCACCAGTGAAGGATGATAGATGAGGATGAAGTAGGTCAGTTAGCCCATCGTGACGAATTCAACAAGAATTGTTCACGATGGTTTCCAGGAGGAACCACGTGGAGGTCGACCTGATAGGGCATATTGCTAGCAATGGGGCTGTCAAACTCCATTACTAACAATCCCTTTCCCCCCACGATTCTTAGTTTTGTCGGAGCGCAATGTATTTGAAATTTTACGATCCACACGCGTGATAACTACACCGCGCGTTCAATGGTGCTTCTTCGCAGGTAGTTTTTATACGCTTGTAGCGTTGACCTTACACAGCTGATTCCGCGCGTTGTTGTAAGATTTTAATACATATTGCTGGTTTTTCGACAATTTTTAGTATTTCACTATAAGCTATTATTATTTCTTTATATTATGGCATAATATCATAGACTACATGCTTAAAAAAACAGGAATAGAAATTTCAATGTTCCAGAAAGAATTTCCACTGGTTAAAATCTAGTTTAGAATAATAGTCAAGCTTTTGGGAATTCCTTTACAGTTATATCCATTCGACTATGGAATAGTCTGCCATCCGAAATAAGGGAATCGACAAGTATAGGCATGTTTAAGCGTCGTCTAAGGGAGCATTACTTATCACTATGCTGACGTATTATGTATATGTGTATATATATTTATTTATGTATATGTATGTATATGTAAGTATATGTATATGTTTACAGGGTTTATGTATTTTATGTAATGTATAATGTGTAGTTTGTATTATTCTTTGTGTATACATATCTTATGTGTTTATACAATGTATGCAGATCGTATGACTGCCTATTTTTATTTTTAAAATAACATACAATTTACATGAAAAGGTTTTGCTGGAAGAAATCTCTTATTATAGAGATAAGCTCGCCTTTGTACATAATGTTTCAAATTAATTGTGGTTAACATTATATTTTGTGTACAATAAAGAATAAAGAATTGTCTGAATTCCCTGTTTCAGCTTTTGCCAACTTGTCCTATACACCTGATACAGAAACTGTGGTTATTTCCACAAAAGCTTATTAACTAATCAACACTGTCTGCAGATAACCAAAGACAGTTCTAGAAGGAAGACCATATGTTCACCCCTAGAGTATTCTGTGTGTGCATGAGTTCCCTGCACCGCGCCAACTCTTCGCTGATGGCCTGTAGCGCTTCCTCCACCTTTTGAGTGACCGGCACGGGCTGGACTCTGGAGATATAGTGCAAATGAATTTTGAGCATGCTTATATGAAATAGTACATTACTGCAGCGGCCAGCAACTGAGGCATTGATGGACGAACGTGCAAAATGTGGGCCGAGGCGCAGCCGAGGCACACATACGTGAGTCCATCAATGCCTAGTTGTGGCCAAGGCTTGTATAGTACTTTTCTCAAACAATGCACGGAAATCAAAAACACAATTTTTCTTTTTAAGGTCAATGACGAATAACGAACAATAATAATTTCTCACACGCCATAATGTTGCTTTGTTTTTTTTTTTTCAATAAACAGCTTTCTATTTGTAAACCAGTTCGAAATTTAAATAAAAGCTTTTATTACGTACTTCCTTGGTAGGCATGTTTCGAAGGAAAAGGTCATTCCATTTTTAAATTACAGGACAGATATGAGTTTACATAGTATTTTAGCTGGCCGCAAAACACGACAGATATGGATTTTCATACAACTTTTGCCGGCCGCTGCCCGCATGTATCTGGCCAGTACGGCAATTTTGATTTATCTCGAAGAAGATTGTCAAAATAATGCTCACATTTCCAAGCATGTTTGAGAAAAATCTTTTAAATCGTCATTGTAATGTTGTTGATGGAAAGTGGTAACCGTCACCTATAAACATGAGCAGTACCATGAACATAACAGAGTATACTGTTTCGCACATGATACCCCCCATGCGTTGCCATTCCTGAAGACTCGTGCTATTCCTCTGTACCCTGTAAATTCACGCCACATCCCACCCTTCAAACCGAAACTTAGCCATGCAAACACAACTGCTTTACGGTTGAAACAAGAATTATCAAAAATTATCAAAACTTAACTGTGCTTGCCAACCCGAATCCCAAGCGTGGCATTTACTGGCATAATTCCCTTTATGGGGGAGGCCTATGTTCACCAGTGGTCAGTTACCTGTTAATATGATGATATGTATATTAACACTTACGGTTTTGTCTCTGGAATGCCTTTTGATACACTTGAACGTTTTCTAACTGCAAGATAAAATATTTTATTTTAATACCAGCGATTTTCATGGTAGTACTTTTTATTAAACCCTATTCACTTGATGGCCGTGTGACCCCGGCATAGAAAAGGCCGCCCCTTCTTTTCCCGTGGGTGTCATAAGAGGCGACTAAGGGAAAGCGAGGTATGAGCAGCAGCATCCCCCTTAAAACATCTCTAAAGCCTGACTGCGGTTGCCAATCCGCCTGCCAAGCGTGGCAACTACTGGGACCCCCTCCCCTCCCAAGGGGGAGGCCTGTGATCAGCAGTGGACAGATAAAGGCTGATGATGATGATTTATTTCTCAAAAGTGATAAGGAAAACCATCGTGCTGAATTCCTGGTGCATTCATCACGATGGGCTAACTGACCTGCCATTTTATTCTCACCTATCATTCGTCACTGGTGCCCCACCAGCGTATACCGTTAGCGCAGGTGGGGTTATCATCCATTAAAAAGACTGATATGCTTTCATCCTCATCCATGATGATTCACTGGTGCCTCACCAGCGTATATCGATAACGTAGGCGGAGTTAGCATTCCGTTACCATTCCATTATCATCCGTAAAAGTAAAAATCACCTGCAGTGTGCGCGGGCAGCTCTCCCTCGCTGAGCGAGCCGCAGTCCGTGGTGGCGGCGGTGTGGTCGCTGTGGTCGCTGTGGTCGGTGCTGCCGTCCGTGCGGTCGGTACTCGTCGCCTTGTGCTCGCCCGGTGACAGCGGCTCGCTGTAACTCGCCACTAGGGGGAATGACACGTATATTATATAAAGGGTTCTCAACTATTGTTATTGTTCCATCATGACGAATTCCACAATAATTAACCATGATGGGTTTTATGTTTTTTTTTTATACAACTTAGAATGGCAAACAGGCTGACGGCCCCACGCTGATGGAAAGTGGTAACCGTCGCCTATAGACATGAGCAGTACCATGGACATAACAGAGTATACTGTTTCGCCCATGATACCCCCCATGCGTTGCCATTCCTGAGGACTCAGGTGTTATTCCTCTGTACCCTGTAAATTCACGCCATATCCCACTCTTCAAACCGAAACACAGCCATACAAACACAACTGCTTTACGGAAACACGAATGGGACAGAGGTACCTAACGAGTTATTCGAATCCCCCTTCCGCCTCTGTAACGCATCGTAACGTTTTGAAGTACTCTGCCAAGTTTCTTGTCCATTGTTGTCTACATTTTACTATGATAAAAGTATAGAACATTCTAGAATACACACCAGCGTCGTCTCCCTCGTCAGGCAGGTCAGTGAGCGACGAGATCTCGTAGTCGGTATTGTCCCCTGCCACAGAGTACGTGCGATCTCGTGACGGCCAGCGTCGGCCCTGTCGCTGTGGGCTACTGTGGGGCCGCGGCTGCTGTGTACTCTGCTGATTTCCTTGCTGTTTGTTATCCATTTGTTTGCCTGGAATAATGTTTTGTAATGTTGTAATATTGTAATAAATTTATCAATAAGTGTTAAAAGTAAGGGGTCAGATGAACCGCAATCATATTTTTAATTCTTTCTTTAGCTTTTTGCTCACTGAATTAGTGGGTAGTGGTAGGTATAAGCGTGGACTTCAGAAATCGGAAAACTAATGAAATGGACCACTAGATGGCGTTATTATGACAAAACATACACCAGATCTTAAGTTAGACTTTCAGGAACACGAAACTGACTGTTTGACTGAGGAAAACTAATTCAAATTGGTGTAGTTTTTGCATGATCCTGGAACAATCAGATAGAGAAAAATTAAAAAAAAAAACATTGTTTTGGCTTCTATTGATCTCATTAAGACCCTTTATATCATATTTTTTTAAATCGACATTGTCTAATTACCATTTTATTATATTATAATCGGTTGGGTAAAATAATGTTAATTACACTGCGACTCACCTAGTCGATGTGTATCCAAGAGACCAGCCTGAACACCCGCGTGGTTGGCGTGCGTTTCGTTCGACGCATTCACTACCGCGCCGTTCCGTTTCACGTCACTTGTCTTTACTTCGTCGAGAGATTCGATTTCCTTCTCGCCCACTTTAAAGTTTCCCTTACTACCATTGACAGCTAATTTTAATGTTTCATTTTTACTATTCGGGTAATACTGTGTCGTTTTAACTAACTCTCCACTATTTTGTATCGTAAAACCGTGATGGATCACTCCATTGTTTCTATTGGAACTGTCGCTTGAATGGTTGGAATCCTTTGCTGTTTTAACACCAATTAACCGACGTTTCGCTCTCGACCACGGTTTTTCTTTTGAAACCGATATATTTGCTTCGCCGTCTACGGGCAAAGGTCCTGGTATTTGAAGGCCGTTATGCGAGTCGCTTTTTACGTTTGAAGCGATTTTAATCGGTTTTTGCCGCGGAGCTGGAACTGGTTCTTTCAGGTATTTTCGGGTATTTTCGAGGCATTGATCAACCTGTTCCGATTTAATTGGTCGACATCTGAAAATTATAACAGCCAAGTTTACTTACTAGTTTATTATTTTGTTTACAATGTAATAGGATTCTTCTTAAAAAATTGTTAGTATTTGGACTGGTAGCCCTATTACTAGCAATACACTATATCAGGTCGACCACCCCGTGGTCCCCCTGGAAACTCTCGTGCTAAATTCCAGGTGTATTCGTCGCGGTGAGCTGACCTTTTTATAACATAACAACTTTCTTTGATTACAAAAACCTTGTACAAGTTTGGTAGCAGAGCGTTGTTATATAAATGACTAGCTTTTTGCCCGCGACTTCATACGCATGGATATCAGAAGTAGGAAATTCAATGATATAGATCACTAGATGCCAAGATAGCATGTCAAGATGAAATCTACTGCACATTTTATAAGTTAGACTTTCAGAAATACAACTAAGGTAAACTGCCTCCAATTTAGTGTAGTACTTTTGTGTAATACCGGATCAAACGTACGTTTACACAGACAAACAAATAACATTTCTAAATATATATAAATGCCCTGGTCTTATTAAGACTTCTAATATATTTTTTAAAATCTCCCATGTACTTACATTATCTAGTTACAATATAAGCAAGATGACCTTTAACAGAAGAGAAACTTGGAGTAAGAATAAATATAAAAATAATAGTAGATGGATACCACTTACATGCTGCCTTCTATCGTCTCGTTGGTGGTAGCAGGCTCGTCATAGCTATTCCATAGTTCGTTCACTTTACACACACTAACCGATTGTTCCTTCGAACGGAGTTTTCCTTCTGACTTGTCGTCTCTGTCTGGACTGTGCTCTGTGCTGCTTTTTTTATTCGACTGCCAAAGAAAGAATATTACTTGTATGTATGTTGTTTGTATGTGTATTTTGAGGATTGTAAGATGTGTATTAATGAATAATAAATAGATGTCGTTACTATAGGGTACATTAAGCAAACAAAATACCGCGACCTAGTAAAGTCATGCGAAATTGTCTTTAGCTCCTTAGCTATTTTTAGATAGATAGATTTATTTATTTAGCTCTGTTATGTCATGGTACTGCTCATGTCTATAGGCGACGGTTACCACTTTCCATCAGGTGGGCCGTCAGCTTGTTTGTTATTCTAAGTTGTATGAAAAAAAAAACAAATATCCTACCTCTATCGTGACCTTCCTAACGACATCCTGCTGAGTGTTATCAGTGACATTATTTAGTTCGACATTTTCTATAAGTCGTGTTCCAATGTCTTCTGACTCCAAACCCTTATTCTGTACCAATTGTGTATTTTTGGCTTCATTAATCTGAAAATTGATTTCATCACATATCATCTGTCCACTGCAGGACACAGGTCTCCCACATAGACTACCATAAGGTCCCGAGTTACCTGCATCCACTGACCCCTGTAATGAATTTGAGTTAGTCGCTTCATCTAGTGGGTAGTCTTTTTACACTGTTTTCCCGTACAAGATCGCCACTCTAGAACCTTTCTTCCCCTTCGGTTGTTGGTTCTTCGAGCTGTGTGACTAGCCCATTGTCACTTTAGTTTGCTTATCCTTCGAGCTATGTTTGTCACTTTGGTTCTTCCTGGATATCCCCATTTCGTACAGTATCGCCCAAAAAATTCTGAGCATTGCGCTTTTCATGGCTAGCGAGAATTTGAAAATTTGCTACCTTCAATTTGTTTAGACAATACATTAAAATCTATAGAAATATGGGTTGGAGAGGGAAATAACGAGGGCTAGCGTCCCAATTCCTAAAAACCAACCTATCGATTAGGAATAATCCTCTTGGAAACTATCATGATTAATATATGATGATTTTTTATGACTCATAACCTGAGCCTGACTTGCTCACCTATTATTCCCATACTGCCTTGCCAACGTAAATCAATAGAGCAAGAAGTTACTAATCCAATCTTATCCATTGGGGGGAAAGGGATTGTTAGTATAGGGGTCAAATAGCCCTATTACTAGCAATATACCCTGTCAGGTCGACCTCCGCGTGGTTCCCCCTGGAAACCATCGTGGCTAATTCTAATTGAATTCGTCAGGATGGGCTAACTGACCTACTTTCATCCTCATCAGTCATCTCTCACTGGTGCCCCGCCAGTGCATACCGATAGCGAAGACGGGGTTGCCATGCCATTGTCACCCATTAAAAAAAAAGCTTATCCATTATAAACAAAAATATGAAAAACACTGTAATTTGTTGCATTATATCTAATTTAAGTTTTCAGAAATCTGCATAATTTTTACTCACCGCGTCCATTTTCAACGTGTCCAGTTGCTGTTGCAAATCCGATATCCTTTCCAATAATTGTTTATTTAGTTTAAATAGTGCCTTAAAAGAAATATAGTAATTAATACCAAATAATAATAATAACAAGTTGATATAATCCCGATTATATTATCTTCTGCTGGCGTTATCCCAAAATCTCTACCCAAACTATTAAATAAACTGCACCTTAATAAGACATTCTTCATTGAACTCCAGAAATCTACAGTATTAGATACATTTTTTTTTTTATACAACTTAGAATGGCATACAAGCTGACGGCCCACCTGATGTAAAGTGGTAACCGTCGCCTATAGACATGAGCAGTATCATGAACATAACAGACTATACTGTTTCGCCCATGATACTCCCCATGCGTTGCCATTCCTGAGGACTCAGGTGTTATTCCTCTGTACCCAGTAAATTCACGCCATATCGCACCCTTCAAACCGAAACACAGCCATGCAAACACAACTGCTACATGCTCCATAGTTAGAAAACTTTTTAAATAGTCCAACTCCTAGCATTCCTACTGAATAAAACGAAATATGAGAACAAGTGACTTGGTAACAATCCCGTCCTTGTCTCTACAAAACCAGCTATAAGCTGAGAAATAATACATATGCATATAATAATAATAATAATAAAGATTTATTGCACATAAAAATATACAGTCATGGGCTTACAGGAATTTCAAAGTGAAATTATATGTGTATAAAATGTGTTATTATGCCCAGCACATTAGTGTCTAAACTAGGCCTAGCCTGTATCTTAGACACTCATGCCTTCTATTAGATACATATTTTCGTGCAGTTATGCTATATTAAAATAGTACATTAATTATTAATACATTAATTAATTAATACCAGAGGGAGACTTTGTACAAAAGTCGATTGCTTGGGTACCTCTGTCCCATTCGTGTTTCTACCGTAAAGCGGTTGTGTTTGCATGGCTGTGTTTCGGTTTGAAGGGTGGGATATGGCGTGAATTTACAGGGTACAGAGGAATAACACCTTAGTCCTCAGGAATGGCAACGCATGGGGGGTATCATGGGCGAAACAGTATACTCTGTTATGTCCATGGCACTGCTCATGTCTATAGGCGACGGTTACCACTTTCCATCAGGTGGGCCGTCGTCAGCTTGTTTGCCATTTTAAGTTGCATAAAAAAAAATACCAAATATAATCCATCAATCAATACATCTAGTTCTTTGCAGAGTTGGCAGAGAGAACAGAGTGTAATAACTTTCCTCATGTGATAGTAAATGTGGTTACCAACAAAATGTACCTTGGTTCCCTTCAGATCCTGTACAAGTCGGATAGGTTATCACAAATTTACTCTTGTTTAACATATCATCATCATCATCATCATCATTTCAGTCGTTAATTGTACACCGCTGAACATAAGCTTTCCCGATAAGGGGAGTATTGACAGTAGTTGCCATGCTTGGCAGGCAGGTTGGCAACTGCCGTCTATATAATATATATATATGGGTTTTCCTCTTATATATATCTTAGTAAGAATATTACCTTATTGTCGTCGTCGCACTCATGCGACCGGTTGACGTCCGTGTACCCGGAGTCGTCTGAATGTTTGGACAGTTTGGTCTCGTCTCGGTCTACCGTCGTACCCGGGCTGATCTGGTTGGCAACTAGCTGTGACTGTGGCACTTCCAACTGAAATATGTATTTTAACTAGCTTTTACCGGCGACTTCGTCGACTACCACAGGGAGACTTTGTACAAAAGTCGACTGCTTGGGTACCTCTGTCCCATTCGTGTTTCAACCGTGAAGTCACTTATTATTCCTCACTGGTGCCCAGCCAGCATATACCGTTACAGTAGGTGGGGATACCATTCTATAAAATTTATCTAATTTATATAATTTATTGCCCATTAAAAAATACCATTTTCTACTAGGTGGACCGTCAAATTGTTAGCCATTGCAAGTAGCATGAAGGAAATAATAATATTATATATGTATATTTACCCGCAGAGAGGATACCTCCCAGTGTGGCGGCTCTCGGGGCGTGCTGGTAACAAACTGGCTGTCCACCTTGGACGATGCTCGTCTCAACTCCTGCGCATGGAATTAAAATTATTTATACCTAAAGTAGGATTGACTACATGTTAAAATGCAAACATAAAAACTATATTTTTTAATTGTCTCTGATTACTATATAGGACGAAAACATAATAAATTAAGAACTTGTTAAGAGACTTTGAAAAAAAATTCAGTTCCCCTGTTTATTTATTTATTTAACATTTTATTGCATCAACATTTTTTTTTATACTACTTAGAATGGCAAACAAGCTGACGGCCCACCAGATGTAAAGTTGTAACCGTCGCCTATATACATGAGCAGTACCATGGACATAACAGAGTATACTGTTTCGCCCTTGATACCCCCCATGCGTTGCTATTCCTGTACCTAGTACATTCACGCCATATCCCATCCTTCAAACCGAAACACAGCCATGCAAACACAACTGATTCACGGTAGAAACACGAATGGGACAGAGGTACCCAAGCAATCGACTTTTGTACAAAGTCTCCCTCCCTACATTACAGGATTTGCTGAAGAATTTTCAATCAATACTCTTACTTCACTTCTTATTCCTACTTATTAGTTTCATATTGGGCCAATTGACCTATTTCATCCTCACCTATCGTCCTTCACTGGTTCACCGCTAGTATATACCGATAGCGCAAACGGGGTTACCATACCATTTTCTACCATTAAAAAAAAGCTCCCTTAAAATAATACTGAAAATATCGACTTCAAACTATATACAATCAAATATTAAACTAGAATAGCTCCCATACGTTCATACTGGCGAGATGCGTGTCGATTTTCTTCGCCATTTGCGCGGACGCATCTGCTACTTTTAAACGCATCTCCAACTCCGTCACCTTACTCTTCTCTACTGATAACTGGGTAGAGAGGTCGTCTGCAATTGGATTAACAAAATATATTAATAGATGCTGTGATGCAAATCGCTAAACGCCCTCTGAAGGAGACTTCGAGATGAGGGAGACTTGTCGATTACTTGGGTACTTCTGTCTCATTCGTGTTTCAACCGTGAAGCAGTTGTGTTTGCACGGCTGTGTTACAGTTCGAATGGTTTTTTAATGAATGACAATGGAGTAATTACCCCACCTGCGCTAACGGTGTACGCTGGCGGGGCACCAGTGAGAAATGATAGGTGAAAATAAAAAGGAAGATCAGTTAGCCCATCGTGTGGAATATACCTGGAATTCAACATGATGGTTTCCAGGGGGGACCACGTGGAGGTCGATCTGATAGGGTATATTGTTAGCAATACGACTGATAGTCCGCACTGCTAACAAACCCTTCCCGCCGGTTTGAAGGGTGGGATATGACAGTGAACTTACAGGGTACAGAGGAATAAAACCTAAGTCCTCAGGAATAGCAACGCATGGGGGGTATCATGGGCGAAACAGTATACTTTGTTATGTCTACGGTAGGTACTGCTCATGTCTATAGGCGATGGTTACCACTTTCCATCAGGTGGGCCGTCAGCTTGTTTGCCATTCTATGTTGCATAAAAGAAGTCGTTATAGTTGTATACATACTATAGTTGGCTTCCTGTTCACGCAGTCGAGTTATTAGTTCGCGCACACGACTTCCACTCTGTTCCTCTTGCAGGCCGCGCTGCTGCTGAAGATGGTCCACCTGGCGCTCCAGAGCTGTGACGCGTTGGGTATACTCCTCGTGCGTGTGTGACAGCTCCTGGAGATACCACATTTCATATGGTTACTAGCCAGTTTCTGGACCTCCCCCAAAATTAATGAATCGTCACAAAATTTCAGGGCAACTAATAAAGAAGTGAGGGGGAGGGGGAGGAAATGTTAGTAATAGGGTCTAACAGCCTCATTGCGGGGGGAAGGGATTGTTAGTAATGGGGATTAGCAACCCCATTGCTAGCAATAAACTCTCCTATCAGGTCGACCTAATCGCGGTTCCCTCTGGACACCATCGTGATTGGTTTATTGTTGAATTTATCACGATGGGCTAACTGACCTGCTTCACCCTCATCTATCATCCCTCACTGGTGCTCCGCCAGTGTACACCAATAGCGCAGGCGGGGCTACCATTCCATTATCATCCATTTAAAAAAAAAAACAGCCTCGTTGCTAGCAATATACCTTATCAGGTCTACCTCCACGCGACTCTTCTTATAAATGTAAATATGTATGTAAATAAGTAAATATATATTTTTTCTCTCACAAAATAACAACATAATAAAACTTACAGCTACATAGCGTTACAATTAAAAATAATCTTTGTGAGAGACTGGTGTTAGACTTGGAAGCCATCGTAGCGTTAATTCTTGTCAAAATTATCACGATGGGTCAACTGTCTTGCATTCATCCTCACCTATCATGTACCACTGGTGCTCCGTCAGTGTATACCGATAGCGCAGGCTGAATTACCATTCCATTTTCACCCATTAAAAAAAATACAAAAGTGAATGAAGAATGAACAAAATCTAATCAGACATTGTACAAAAGTCGATTGCTTGGGTACCTCTGTCCCATTCGTGTTTCTACCGTGAAGCAGTCGTGTTTGCATGGCTGTGTTTCGGTTTGAAGGGTGGGATATGGCGTGAATTTACTGGGTACAGAGGAATAACACCTGAGTCCTCAGGAATGGCAACGCATGAGGGGTATCATGGGCGAAACAGTATACTCTGTTATGTCCATGGTACTGCTCATGTCTATAGGCGACGGTTACCACTTTCCATCAGGTGGGCCGTCAGCTTGTTTGCCATTCTAAGTTGTATAAGAAAAAAACATGACGAGTATATCTCGTAACATATAAAATTAAATAAAGGCGAGTTATCAACCTCCTCTATTTGGGTGTCACTTGTAAAAAATACATCAAAGCCTTTTCCTTACCTCTTGCAAGTTGTCAATTTTCTGTTTGAATTCCTCCATGAGAGTTCTGCATTTGTTCTCGTCACACACCTCACTTGGACTCTTTCTGATAATGATGAAAAGAAAAGATAATGTTATAATAAATTATTTCATCTATCCTCTCCAAATAGCCAAACTAGCGCAATATACTTTTTTAATTTTTTTTCACTACATCGTCTTGCAGTCAACACTTCTCTGTAAACACACTGTTTTACTTACTTATCCTATCTTTTTTATTTTTTATACAACTTAGAATGGCAAACAAGCTGACGATCCACCTGATAGAAAGTGGTTACCGTCGCCTATAGACATGAGCAATACCATGGACATAACAGAGTACACTGTTTCGCCCATGATACTCCCCATGCGTTGCCATTCCTGAGGACTCAGGTGTTATTTCTCTGTACCCAGTAAATTCACGCCATATTAAGCCGAAACACAGCCATGCAAACACAACTGCTTCACGGTTGAAACACGAATGGGACAGAAGTACCCAAGCAATCGACTTTTGTACAAAGTCTCCCTATGGTATATGTAATGTTAATGTAATATCACAAATACTTATATATTTTCCAACAAAAAAATATTTTTAATTTACTTAAAAAAACTATGGCGTTCGAGATGTCAAATGTCTTTTAAATCGATCCCAATGTAAATAGTAACACTTACTTTTCCAACTCACGGGTATCGGTTTCAACATCCTTTGTTGTTACTTCTCTGAAATAAAATTATTCAATTAAATTCAATTTATAGAGAGTAAACAATACAAGTGTAAAAGGAACACAGTAATAACAAGAAGCCATGTAGGTCCAGGGATAGAATAGGTCACCCCCTTCCTTCCCGTGGGTGTCGTAAGAGTCGACTAAGGAAGCTTCCCTCCACTATAAGTGGAGGGATGGTTAGCAGCGTCTCTCTTAAAACATCATCAAACGCTAAACTGTGGTTGTCAACCCGTCTGTCAAATTTGGCAACTACATGCAAAGCTCCCCTTCTTCATATTAGTAAAAGTTGTTGTAGTTGTATCAGCCATTAACTGCCCGCTATTGAACATAGGTCTCCCTCAAAGACTGCTTTTGTCATTGGGGGGTATTTTCAATAGTTGCCACGTTGGGCTAGTGTAAGTAACCACAATTAGACTTTGGTGATGTTTTAAAAGGGGTTACTGCTGCCTTTCTCTCGACCATTAAGTTTTCCTAGTCGCGTCTTACGACACTCACAGAAAAGGGTTAACCCATTCTATACAGTGTCCACAAGGCGTACATTACACAATGTTATTTCAATAATTAAAGATTTATTTGTTCGTAACAGATAAAACTAAAAAATACTTAACCGATTTTAACAATTCTTTCATCTATGCATAATGTAGATTACATTATCAATGAGCAAACTTGGGAGGGAAAGGGATTGTTAGTAATGGAGACTGAGAATCCCATTGCTAGCAATATACCCAACCAGGTCGACCTCCTCGCGGTTCTCCCTGGAAACTATCATGGTTAATTCCTGATGAATTCATCATGATGGGCTAACTGGCCTGTTTTCATTCTCATCTATCACCCTTCACTGGTGCTCCGCCAACGTATCCCGTTAGCGCAGGCGGGGTTACCATACCATTTTCACCCAACAAAAAAAAAAAACATGAGCAAACTTGGATTATATTTTATTTTAAAAATACCGTACAAGGCCTGGACTGGTCTGTAGATACACATATAGTACGTACATATATTTCTAGGTTAACAGGTAGAGAACACCGTACGGTGTTAATTACGCCATATGTACATAAAATTTTACTATGCATTAAAGTTTAAATAAATAAATTTATTTATACATTTGCAATGAAAAAAAAAAAAATTTTACAGGGCGAATTCAATGCCCGATGGTATTCTTTACCAGTCAACTGTTACTCTAAATGTTTAATTTGTTTATTTATATTTAGAATAATTACAGCTTTTTTTTACAGTAATAGTGTAAATTGTTACTTAAAAAAAAATAACGAAAGATATTTATGTATCGAGCAAGAATGAATGGAGATGTCGGTAGGGGCCGCCCTAGACGGACGTATGTCGACCAAACAGGCGACGTGCTGAAGAAGGGCCAAATTAAAAGTACCCATAATCGGCGAGAGTGTATGAAAAGAGTGATGAATGTGGAAGAAGCGAAAGAGATTCGTTTGGATCGCAGCATTTAGCGTTCCATTGTTTCTGCCTACCGTAATGGGAGACAGGCGTGACAGATATGTATGTATGTTACTTAAAAACAGTTTTCCATAAACTTACTTGTACAGATATTGACTGGAAGCTGTCGCCGCTTTGGGGTTGCCGTCACTTCGTCGCGTATGAAGGATACTCACTGAAGAATGTCTACAATCAAATTATATTTCAATATGTAGTATAAAAAATATACTGTAAAATGACTGTACATACAAATAAAAATACAAAATACAAAAAAATATCACTACCACATTGACTAATTATAGCGTAAAGTAACCAAAGATAAATTGATAGATATTTATTGAAAATCTATATAGTATTCGGTTTTTTCTTTTTTAATTTGAAACGTTGTCTTTCTATTTTTTTTTTTTTTTTTTTTTTTATACAACTTAGAATGGCAAACAAGCTGACGGCCCACCTGATGGAAAGTGGTAACCGTCGCCTATAAACATAAGCAGTACCATGGACATAACAGAATGTACTGTTTCGCCCATGATACCCCCCATGCGTTGCCATTCCTGAGGACTCAGGTGTTATTCCTCTGTACCCAGTAAATTCACGCCATATCCCACCCTTCAAACCGAAACACAGCCATGCAAACACAACTGCTTCACGGTTGAAACACGAATGAGACAGAGGTACCCAAGCAATCGACTTTTGTACAAAGTCTCCCTCTGCTATTCTTCTTTCTGTTTATTGCGTCTTTTTCTACATAGAACGTCATCTAGCAAAATCTATGAATAATTTACAGAAAAATAACTCTATACATTAACGACAGTTTCCCAAGTTACTGATTTTTTTTTTAATTATGCATCGTGATCTATCTGAAGGCAAATCGCTAATAAAATTGTAACTTGCATTTAAAAACATACAATTTAAAGGCAAGAACTCACTTCATGGATGCAGGCGGAGTAGTTAAACATTTAAAGCACCGAGACGTAACTTGTGAGGGGCTTCGTTTGAGGAACTGTTTCGCTGTGCAGAGCCTCATGTTTAAGACCCGAATCCTCTCCGACATACGCTCGTTTGCTCTTCTCAAATCTGCTATTCTGAAAAACCAAGTTTAAACTCTGTACTTTTTTAATTGCTGCTAGGCAGCTGTGAGGGGCTATGTGTGAAGATTGAAGCAGGTTAGGTGTGATGAATTCAACATTAAATAACCACGAAGGTTTCCATGGGGAACCGCGTGGAGCTCAACCTAGTGCTCGTGATATACCCTATTATGTCCATCTCCATGCAGTTCCCTGAAAACCATTGTGTTTAATTCCTGGTGGATTTGTCATGATGCGCCAACTAACTTAATTTTATCCGAACTTATCATTCCTAACTGGCATTCCGCGGGGGGGAAGAGATTGTTAGTAATGGAGTTTAACAGCCCCATCGTTAGCAATATGCCCTATTAGGTCGACCTTCACGCGGTTCCCCCTGGAAACCATCGTGAACAATTCTTATTGAATTCGTCACGATGGGCTAACTGACCTGTTTTCATCCTCATCTATCATCCTTCACTGGTGGCTCGCCGGTGTATACCGATAGCACAGGCGGGCTAACCATACCATCATCCATTTAAAAAAAACTGGCATTCCGCAGGGGAGGCGGGAAAGATATTGTTAGTAATGCGGACACAAGTGAATTTCAAGTGCATTCATCACGATGAGCTAACTGACCTGATTTTTCTTATCATCTCTCATTGGTGTCCCGCCAGCGTATACCGTTAACGCAGACCGGGTTACCATTTCATCATCACTCATTAAAAAAAAACTGGCACTGGCCCAGTGTACACCGATAGTCAAAATGGGATTACCATCCCATTTTCACCCATAAATATCCCAACCATAATTGCCCTACACATACCTAAACATAAAAAAAAAGAACTAAAATACTTACGACGCCTTCTGTTCCTGAACAACAGCCTTTGTGGCAGCGCAACAGTCTTTATTCTCCTTCAAAAGACTGTTCCTTTGCGAGGCAGTCATCCTTTGCACTTTTGTTGAGAGGAACTAAACATAATTAGCATGTTTTAGTGTAAACAACGAAATGTAAATATGGTTGAATATATAATATAGTAAATATGGGTGATGAGGCAGACTAAAATAATAGGAATGTGAATAAGCTATCCACAGATCCAAGAGCTCCATTTTAGACCACATCATCACTTACAATCAAGTGAAATCTTGATCAATCGTGGGACCTTTCAGTGTTAACACATGAAAACTTTTTGTTATTTATAATAATTTGAATTTAATAAAAAATAAACTCTCATTCTTTTTCTAGCTGTCAACAAGTCTTTTATTTCATATAATTTTAAATATTAAAAATAAAGCAAACACAGCTAGAACACTAATATTCAGCAATAAAGAAAAAGTTGGGCAAATGAATTAAACATAAAGAAACGAACAGAAAATTTTAACCTCTGTATAACCAAAATAAAAGCTAACTTCTATTTTGGAAAATTGAAGAAAATGGTCTATTTAAATTAATGAATAGTACCACAGATAGTAAAATAGCTTATATTAATAAAATAAATTGTATTTTTTTGTAAATAAAATATTACTATTTTATTTTAGAATAACATTCTCCCTTGCCAAGTTGAATTCTAAAATGAACAGTGTAACATACTGAGTTACATATACACATATTGACTGTATGGTCTCGGCAAAAAATGGGCCACCTCTTCCTTTTCCATGGGTATAGTAGAAGGCAACTAAGATAACAGTCGAGGGTTGGACAACAATGTCTAACTGCAGTTGCTAACCTGCCTGCCAAGCATGGTAACTACTGGCAAAACTCCCCATTATGGGGGAGGCCTATGTTCAGCAGTGGACAGTTCATATATTGATAAACATATGTTTCCATCTCCACAATGTTTACACTTGGCAAGTACCTCTGACTATCCTATTATAATAGGTAATTTTTTGATAACAATTTACATACCTTTATATTATCTTGCTGTGAGGTAACAGTCTTCTTCAATTCTAAGTTCTTATCCAACATTTCAAAATAAAGGTCCTCTAACTCCTTTTTACTTAATTTGGATGGACTGATGCGGTATACATCTGAAAACACTATTATAATTTTATAAATATGAAAGTTTGTAAAGTTATTTGGATGTATGTTAATTTAATTACACTTAAAAGTATAATTATTTTTTTTTTGAAATTTGGTACACAGTTATGATGTGATATATATATCCAAACTTAACACATATTGATTCATGCAGGTAAATAAGCGAGAAACAGCTAGTGATTTGATAAAATTTAAATAGTATAGTAAAGTTTGGTCAACTTATTAATAATTGAAAAAAATAAAATACAATAATAAAAAACTAGTGATCCCCCCTGGCTTCACACGAGTGCAATGTGGTGGCAGTGTGGAGTGATTAATATTACTATTGTATCAATTTATATAACTTCCCAAACTTTACATAATTTGTATGTTTTTTTAACATTACAATAACTATAGAAAGTTATCCATATAATAAAAAATGAATCCATATAATAATAAAGAAAAAATTTTGCATGCCATTGTTTTGGCAAAACACGCCTGTTCCTAACATATTATTGCTAACATCTGTATACCGTGTTTTTCATCCAATAAATTATATTATTATTATTATAAAAAATGAAATCTCTGACATTTTTGTGCTCTTAATAATGAGGAATAATTCCATAATACATTATTTTGTTATAAATTTTCTATGAAAGCTCTCATCTTGAAGGATTATTGTCTTGTTTCAATAAATTAACAAAACAATAATAAACCATATATATATATATATATATATATATATATATATATATATATATATATATATATATATATAAACCTTCCTCTTGATTTCACTCTATCTATTGATGGCAATCACATTAAAGTCAATTGCTTTATTTAAAAGATTTAATCATCCTTATACAGGAAGCCACTTTGTTTAATAATACTATGTAGAGATACCGTTCATTGTACAAAAAGTCACATGAGTATGAATAAAGCAATTTAGCTTAATTTTTCAAATGTTCATAATAGTTCAGTTACGATTTTTAAAATAAATCTGGAATTTAACATTATATGAATATTTTAATAGGTGTGATTATACCTAAGTTTGTCTGGGAGAGAATGCTTTTGGCATGAAGTCCGCCTTGTATACATACTACTAAGGAATAAATAAATAAATATTTGGCACTTGGTAACACTTAGTACATATACTGATATTATTAGAAAAACACTTTTACTCATCCACAAATTGTTTTATACCACTGTGGTGGCAGACAAGCACACTGCCCACTAGATGGTAAGATGTTACCGCAGCCTATAAATGCCTGCAATACTAGGGACATTGGCGACCCTGAAGAAACCTCTTTACCCCTTTTTTGAAGAACCCCATGCTGTAGTTTCCTGCTAAAACCTCAATAGGGAGCTGGTTCTGAGTGTTCCTGGGAGAAAATATCTCTGAAACCATGCTGTATGCAACTATCTACTCTCTAAGGTATGGTGGTGAACTCCCTGTTGATGGTGAACTGTACGATAATAGGAAGTGGCAGTGGGCATCATATTAAACAATTCCTATAAGCACAGTTGGTGACTAGGTTTCTATTAGTAGTTGATTAGAATTGTTTTAATTCCACAACCATGATATTATATAATATATATAGTATATAATATAGAATATGGACTTCCACATAACAGCACAATTTTAATCATTTTTACCAGAGGGAGACTTTGTACAAAAGTCATTGGCTTGAGTACCTCTGTCCCATTCGTGTTTCAACTGTAAAGTAGTTGTGTTTGCATGGCTGTGTATCGGTTTGAAGGGTAGGATATGGCGTGAATTTATAGGGTACAAAGGAATAACATCCGAGTCCTCAGGAATGGCAATACATGGGGTTATCGTGAGTGAAACAGTATATTCTGTTATGTTCATGGTACTGCTCATGTCTATAGGCGACGGTTTCCACTTTCCATCAGGTGGGCCAGCTTGTTTGCCATTCTAAGTTGTATAAAAAAAAATCACAAAAAAAAAAATCCCATGCATATATTGTGTAGGAGAAGGGATCGTTAGTAAAAGGCAAAACTAGCAATATACCCTATCAGATCGACTTCCATGCAGTTCCTTTTAGAAACCTTCACAATTAATTCTTTTGTATTTTTCACTATGGGCCAACTGGCCTGCTTTTTCCTCACTTATCATCCCCCACTGGTGTACCACCACTTTATACCGATAGTGCAATAGGGGTTACCATTCTACTATCATCTCATAAAAAAATTATGTTTCAATTTGAAAGTGAGATATGGTTAATAAATTATGGGAATTTGGAGGAATAACCTTGGTCTTAAGGTATGGCAAAGCATGCAGGGCTACTATATTATGGAAGTTAGTGTATTCTGTTGGCAATGAATGTTTGTTATACCTAATAGTATAAAAAAAAATTACAAAAAAGATTAGTGCAAAAATTTCCAAAAATAAATGTTAGTTTCTATAGTTACTAATATTCGTAAGCTGTGGTGAACATTATCATGAGGCAAGCCGCAAGCACAAGACATATCGTGTAACAGTTTACCTAGGCAACATTGCCCGCCAATCACCTAAAAAAATATGTTTGTTCATACCTCGCTCACATTTAGTAGAATGACTCTTGATTGCATCGCGACCAGCTTGTTCCTTATTTAATCCGTTCATCATACTTGTACATTTAAATATAATTATAGAATAGGAAAAACTGAGATTAATCACAGCTACAATTTTGGAAATAACTTACATCCTAACGATTTATAGTAGTCTATAACTTCTCAAAATGGAATTAATATCACATAATTTCGATCTCGAATAAAAAAATCAACGACGATTTATAGTAAATATCACATATTCTCCTATTAATTTTCCAAGAAAATAAAAATGCCGCCATAGCAACAGCTGTTGTTTGGGATGTCAAAAATTGTCAACAAACAATTTTTTCACGACCGTGCCATAGACATTATACTATTTTGTTTTTTTTTTTTATGTTTCTGAGTACTAAATTTTAGTCCGTTTTCAATTCTTTGATTACTTCGATATACATCACAGACGTAGTATAATATACTATTTTTATAATCTAAGTTTTGTACAAATGACTACAAATCTTGTAAAATATTGTGTCTGTAAGAGAATAAATCACTGCAGTGTTTCAACTATTATTTCAATATATAAAATATAACCCTCTGTAACTTATGAAATCTAATCCGAAGATATCGTCACATGCGTACTCATATCAGCGTGTCTAAATTCTGTGATATCCATGGTACAAAACCATAAAAATAATTCTTAGTAGATATATTATTAACAAATAAAAATAAAATATTTTTAAGAGGCTGATCAACAGATTTTATTGAACAATAAACATTTAACACATCAAATTACAGTCACTTATATTCTATAATATGGAATGACATTTAGAAAGTACCACTTTGCAATAAAATTAAGCACGGATTCGGCATGAATTTACTTTTACCTAATATTTTCATACGAATAATATGCAAATACAAAGTAAGTTTGTAAATGGATGAATACCATTCAGAGAACTAAACCTCGAAATTTTATTTGCAACCAAGTATAATTACCAGTACATAGTACTTTAATGGTTAGGGAAGAGAGGATTTTAAATTCAATTTATTATTATTTTTAGAAGGCCATAAGGGGGTTTAACAGCAACGACTGGCGGTTTCATTGTTAACAATAATATACTCTATTATCCATCTGGAAGCAATGTGGTAGTTAATTCCTAGTAAACTAGTTACTACGGCCTAACTGACTGCTTCAACCTCACTTATAATCTCTCTCTGGTGTCCCGCATACAAAAATCAGTAGCGATAGACTTTAGATACCTAATCCTTTTTTTTTTAATAAAAAAAGAACCGGTATTTTTCATGCACGAAATATGCTTAATTATAATATGTAGTGTTTGGATTGAGAAATGGAAATCGAATCGTCCCCGTTGCGGGAATTATAATGCATTGCACTTAGATACCATAATAAATGTTTAAAAACATGTTTTATTGTCGTTTCATTTTAATTATTATAGTCAACTTTCATAGACAAGCGACAAAAAATCTTACGATAACAAAAGCATAGATATCGGTAGATTTGTGTGCCATTTGTCTAGATGAGCAGGTTAGATAATATTTATATCTAGGTATCAAAGTATATAATTACGACCATTATTAAATTATAAAACGTAATTCAAAGAATTGTAAAAGATATTTTGAGTAAGGATTGACAGATACTTCTCACTTTATTAGAAATTATTTTAAGTATGTAATCAATGAGAAAATCGTACAAGTTTAAAAAATTCAGGCACCTACATTATTGGTAGGTACGTACCTAGATATTTTTTTTATGTAGTGTTACAAAAATAAGTTAAATTTTAAACATTTGTATGTAGGTAATTATTTTCGTTTTGAACGTATACCTACCTCCATATAATAACCTATTAAATGTATTTTTAATTCAACATTAGCATCACATTAAACTGCCTGTAAGAATAATTATTGTCGAGATGAGATCGTTTCCAAGAATTTTATGAAAATGACCTACGCCTAATATTTAATTACCTTGTTGAAATTTGCAAGTTTACCTGTCATTACGCCTAATACCTATTAAAATTTGTAGATATATTATCTATAAAATAGATATAATATGACAGCAACATTCCATACCGTTAGGAATGTTTTTAATTAATAGGTACTTAACAATAATAAACAATATATCCTACCACATACTATAAATAATCTACACAAAATATTATTCTATTATATAGATAGATAATACTGTTAACTCACATCGAATCTTATATTTTTCTCTATACAACATTATTACATAAATCGTTATATATCTATGGAACACTATATATTTGCTGTCCACATCTCACTTAAAACTGGGTAGATACTAAAGTCACAAGCCTTAATTTAAATAATTAGTTATGCTGTAGATAGGCCTTCCTCTGTAAAATAGTTTTTTACTGAAATAGTAACAATACCTAGTTACGTACTAAAAGTTTAGGAATTGTTGTTACAAGTAAATTCTTTATAGTGATACCTGAAAAAAATCAGTTACAGTCAACTTTGTATCCAAAGTTAAACAGATTCTATTTAACTATTATAGACTGTTGCATCTATTTTTTAGATACAGTTACTGAACGATACGTAAAAAGCGGTTTACCTAAATCATTTGTTTAACCGAGTTTTTTCAGTGTACCTGGCCATCACAGTCTAAGACCGAAATTAGGGGCTTAATACAAACATTTAAAAACTTGACAGATTTAGATCACGTGACTACAATCTAATCTATATTGTCTATGCCTGTAGTGCCAATTTGGAACGTAGCTTCGTTTATTTTGAGGCTATATGGGCCATGTCCATGTCATTTTTAAAATTCGTCCAAAATGGTCAAGCAAACTTGACCATTTTGGACGAATTTTAAAAACAACAACATTTATTTTGTAGAACTGACAGGTTTTAAGCCTTCATAAAAAGCCCTCACGAGAAGCATTCTTCGATTTTTTTTTTAGATTTTTCTATCCACCTCTCTGTCTAAGACAACGCTGGGCAGATAATTTATACTTAATAAGAATAATCTATTAAATAACGCCATCTAGTTCTAAAAAATACATCCAAGTCTCTACGTAAAATTATTTTGATCGTATAAATATTTGGCAAAATACTTATGAAACCTACAGTCATACAATTTTATTGTCACAATTGCAAATTAGCTCCCATCATTTAATTACTAAATATTAAATATTTTTCTATGCAATGACAGAATACATGGGGATATGTCGCTATAGGACAAATTCAGATCCATTAATGTAAAATATTATATAATAAAATCAACACTCATACAAGATTCACGCAACTATAAGGCCGTATACATATTGAGATGAACGCGACGTAGCGTAAGTATGACTAATTCTCAGTGCAAGAAAAAATTATAATACATACATACATACATATCTGTCACGCCTGTCTCCCATTAGGGTAGGCAGAAACAATGGAACGCCAAATGCTTCGATTCAAACAGACCTCTTTCGCTTCCTCAACATTCATCAATCTTTTCATACACGCTCGCCGGTTACGGGTACATTGTACTTTTAATTTGGCCGTTCTTCAGCACGTCGCCTGTTTGGTCGACATACGTCCGTCTAGGGAGGTTCCTACCGATATCTCCATTCATTCTTGCTCGATAAATCTCTTTCGTAATTCTTTCATCCGTCCTCTCCAAATGGCCAAACTAACGCAACATTCTTTTCTCGATAGAGAACGAAACTGTGTGATTAGAGAGATGTGTGGACTGAAAGACGATATAGTGACAAAAATCGAAAAACTTATATAAAGTAAATAAATGTATTAACATAAGAAAGAACATGACACTGGATATCGTTGTCTCATTTCAGGCATGGGGTAGCGACAATGTATCTATTGACAGATCAAATTGTTACTAATTTAGAGGGAAGAACTGCCTCAAAAGTCGACTGGTTTTGTGTAAACCGTAGAAAGAGAATAATGTTTACGTCGTGGCAAATAAGTAAAACTATCCAAACACAAAAGCATAGGCAGAATAAGACAAAAAATACTTCCGATATTACTCATATTTTCATGTTATGTTATTATCTATTAGGACTGCATGTACTATCTAAGATGTGTCCTAAATCTAAGATGTAAACAGTACTGAGACATTATATTGCAGTTCACTCAAACCAATATGTTTGCCAGTTTAAGAGTACATGTGCGCTTTTTTTAGGATCACCACCCACCTTGAAAATAATCCTAAATACGCCGATGTGTAAAAGAAAAGTAGAAATTATGAGGCTTTGTTTTATTCTTGCGCGATCCTTTTGCGCTGCCTATTCTGCACTACTTAGAATTTACAGACATAATTGGGTGTATATTTTAACTAGCAACTGTATTGCTTTAAAATCCTGTTAATAAATGCTATTAGAATAAATAGTGGCCATTCTCACACACAAATACACCAGCGCACAAGTGTTGAATTCAATACTATAAAAAGGCGACATATCCCCGTCGAAATAACGACTCTACAGTGTAAAGTATACGGTGGTTTATCCCTTATTTTGGGCAGCCTGTCGTCGCAGGTCGGAGCGGATGCACGCGGTGATGACTGTTCCCAGGGCCAGGATGGCGCAGAGAGTCAGGTTCGACCAGCGATCGCTTATGTTGCTCAGCATCCACTCGTATGTCAATGTCAGGACAATGCCGAAAATCTGGAATCATCAATCATTTCCTTAGTTATATAGTTGAAGAAGTTGCCGACATCTGTGTATAGTGTCTAATAATATCGGGGGCGAGGGGGGGGGGGACTAATGAAGGCTCGTCCGTTTATATTATTCCAGCCGATAACTGCCTACTGGTGAACATAAGCCAACCCCATAAGGAAAGTTTTGTCAGTAGTTACCATGCTTGGTAGGCGGATTGGCAACCGCAGTTAGGCTTTTAAAGATGTTTTAGGAGAGACGCTGCTGCCCATCCCTCGCTCTTCCTTAGTCGCCTTTTACGACTCCCACGGGAAAGGAAGGTGTGGTCTATTCTATGCCGGGGCACATGGTAGCGTATACCGTACCATCTGTTAAAATCCAACTGCCTAAAACGGTTTCTTCCCATAAGAGCAAAATCCTAGCCTAAGATCTGGTGTCGGATTTTAGTTCAAGTTTTCATTCTCCATTTCATTTCATACAATGAAACGGAGACTGTAAACAAATGTACCTGAACAACGGCATTGAGTATCCCTGATGTAGTGCCTTCAGGCTCGGGGTACGTCACCTCGGAAGCGAACTCAAAGCCGACCGGCAAGTAGCCAGTCATGAAGAATCTGGAACATATATTTTTAGCAATTAAACGCCAATATTTTCTACGCTACTTTCCATATCATACTTGACAGCCATTTTACATGCGCTTCTAAGCGTAAAAGTGCAAAACAAAAGTCTCTCTGATGTACCAGAGGGAGACTTTGTGCAAAAGTCGTTTGCTTGAGTACCTCTGTCCCATACGTGTTTCTACCGTGAATCAGTTATATTTGCATGGCTGTGTTTTGGTTTGAAGGGTGGGATATGGCAGTGAATTTATACGGTACAGAGGAATAACACCTGAGTCCTTCGGAATGGCAACACATGGGGGGTATCATGGGCGAAACAGTATACCCTGTTACGTCTATGGTACTGCTCATGTCTATAGACGACGGTTACCACTTTCTATTAGATGGGTCAGCTTGTTTACCATTCTACGTTGTATAAAAAAAATCTCTTTAAAGTGATTAGTTGATTAGAATTAATTTGTTCAATTCAGCTATCATTATTATGAGTACGACCGGTAACACTCGAAGAATGACTAACTATTATTATTACTAGAAATTCTGCAACCTTTTATATTAGTCATTAATCTCCAACCGCCATTCAGTCCACACACGTTTTGTTTCACTCTTTTAAGTGAGTCGAAATTAGAATTAAATTTTTTTAAGGATTGTACTTTGTACCTGGATTCAATCTTCAATACCGCTTTTGTGTACAGAGTAACTAAAGACTTGTTTATGATCTATTGAAATTGAGTATAACGATCAAAGGCACTGTAATAACACGAGTACTATTGCAAATTTTTTACACTGAATTTGACCTTGGCTGTGAATATTATCTAGCGACTAAAACCGACATATAGGTACATGCTTATTATGTTTTAGTAGACACTTGTCAGTATTTAATACGCATGTAGGGGGGAAAGGGACTGTTAGTAATGGAGACTAAACATCCCATTGCTAGCAATATACCCAACCAGGTCGATCTCCTCGCGGTTCCCCCTGGAAACTATCATGGTTAATGCCTGATGAATTCATCATGATGGGCTAACTGGCCTGTTTTCACTCTCATCTATCACCCTTCACTGGTACTCCGCCAGCGTATCCCGTTAGCGCAGGCGGGGCTGCCATTCCATTTTCATCCACCAAAAAAAAAGCATGTAAAAGCAAACCTATTAATGTCTATATCTATACATATTTATACGTGAACAAAAACTTTGTCTTTCTTTTTACGATAATTGTGCGGACGGAGGAGTATGCAATTTCGCACACTTATAATTTATATAGAGAAGGAGTGTTAATTTTTTTTTTAATTATGTATAAAAATTTTATTAAATCAATTAAAAAAAAATTACACACACTACCATGTATTTGATACACACACGCATATACACTCCATTATTTATTATTAAAGTCTGTGGTCAAATTGAGAATAGATTAATAGTCTTTGTCTATAATTATTTGTCTATAGTCTTACTGAATGTTAAACATAACCATTATAAATTCATTTATTACAATATACATAAATTATAGTCGAATTTCGACCACGAGACGACCAATACTTAATATTAATTGTATTATGTCAAACATACAAGGTTATATCCAAAACTCTAATACGTAGATACATTTGTTACAAGAGAACACCAAAACTCCTATTTAGATGACGAAGTACACTGCCAAGAAATAATTTATTCATAGACATGTTAGTGGGAACGACGGAAGGGGAATCTTATTACGTAAATGGGGAAAACCCAATGCCCTCAAATTGTTTACCCTGTTAGTCGAGCATGTTCTATCTCTTTTGTTCGTGATATTTCACCATTATGGCCGAGAGGAGAGTAAAAGGGTCTGATTATATCCGAAACGCATTTTGGACGTAATGTAACGAGACACAATTCCCAACGGAGTGGATCTACAGCCATCTTCTCTATAATATTGGCGAGGTCAAATAAGATCGACGCGAAACGAAATCAGTTAGCATTTATTACCTGATGTCAGAGAAACATCGTCTGCATTTCAAACGTGATATTTATTTATTTATTAACGCACACAAACAGTGCATGTATAATACATACATGGGCCCCTATCAGGTCGACTTCCACTTTGACTTGTTTAGCATTCTAGGGTGCATATAAAATATAGAAGTAATACGGGAGTGAACTTTATCGAAAAGAGAAAAAAATTAAAGTGTAACTCAAAATACGGTACATGTTTTACCTATAATGATACGTTATCTATAAGTGGCCTTTTCATTGATGTTTCTTCTGAAATCCACGTGCACGTAATAATGGGGCATAAAGCTAATGTCGTATACATTTTTCTTACATTATTTAATATATAGGAAAACTTACCCAAGTAAAATACTGCTGAGATACACTACAGCGATGATGCCGCAGTCAAGCGTGAACGTGAAGATGATCATCCCCACAACGGAAGCCGCGTACACAGCGAGGGTCGTCTCCTTGAACCTGTGGGTCTTGTCCAGGATCAGGCCGCAGACCACGGAGCCGGTCATACCAGCTACCACGATCACCAGTCCGATTCGACCTGCATCTTCGTTTGCCCCCTGTGTACATTTGTAGTTGATTATATTAAGATCTAAAACGTATTGCATGGTGTTTTTTTTTTTGATGGGTGAAAATGGTATGGTAACCCCGCCTGCACTAACGGGATACGCTGGCGGAGCACCAGTGAACGATGATAGATGAGAATGAAAGCAGGCCAGTTAGCCCATCATGATGGATTCATCAGAAATTAACCATGATAGTTTCCAGAGGGAACCGCGAGGAGGTCGACCTGGTTGGGTATATTGCTAGCAATAGGATTCTCAGTCTCCATTACTAACAATCCCTTTCTCCCCTATTGCATGGTGTTAGTCAATCATGCATGTTTATTTTTTTAAATGTACTATGTCTAATATTACATGGTCGTTACTTAACGGTAAACTAAAATTTCAACATATAAAATTGTAGACAATGCCAGGTTTGCTGGTTAGAAGTATTTTGTCTAATTCCGCTACTCTTAATATGTGTGTACGATTGCCAACATTTAGCAATTGTCAACTAGACTTCCCTAGTTCAATAAAACAATGACAGGTTTATCTAAAAATCTAGATAGATAAAACAAATATGCCAATGGCCACTTTATTACCAAAAGAAGACTTTGTATAAAAGTCGTTTGTTTAGGTACCTCTGTACCATTCGTGTTTCTACCGTGAAGCAGTTGTGTTTGCATGGCTGTGTTTAGGTTTGAAGGGTGAGATATAGCGAGAATTTACAGGGTACAGAGGAATAACACCTGAGTCCTCAGGAATGTCAACGCATGGGGAGGTATCATGGGCGAAACAGTATACTCTGTTATGTCCATGGTACTGCTCATGTCTATAGGCGACGGTTAGCACTTTCCATCAGGTGGGCCGTCAGCTTGTTTGCCATTCTAAGTTGTATTAAAAAAAAAACTCACCGGATAATACGTGAGAACCAGCTGGTTGAGAAGGGTGGATATAGCGTAGAACACACCCACGTTGAGACCGTACGAGATTAGCAGCAGAACGTAGTTTCTGTTGGTGAGTAGCTTCTTAATTGATTGCAAGAAGTTGGAGTCCAGGTTCGAGCCGAGGTCTGCGGCTGCTGAGGGTGGCGTGGGTGGTGCCGCTTTGAAGACTGCAACGGTAAGAATATAACTAATATAACCTCTCCGTGATCTTGAATTAGACGATTCGATTTATCAGTTAAATGTAACATTTTTTACGAATATCACTTTTTTTTTATTTAACCACTTAAGCATCTCGAACGAGACCCTGTCGCGCATCAAATGTGTTCCGATTTGCGCTGTCCCGAGTACCTCTCGCCACTTATAAATATTGTGTTTATATTTTTATCTGGAGCGATGCCTTCTCGCCCGTTTGTATTTCATAGAGCTTAGTGTATATTTATTGTATGCTCGTTCGAATTTAGTGCGTGCGCTAGTGCGCCAGTTGACCTCATTTCACAGAAACCCTCGCATTAAGTAGTTAATAAGTGACAATGCTTATAATCAGTATTTACATACATTTTAATTATGAGTTTATTTTTTAAAAGTACCTTTTAAAATATTAATCTAAAAACCCAATAGCTAGCAATATCTCTTATCAGGTCGCCACGTGGTTACCTCCACACAATTCCCTCTGGTACAGATAATACAATACTATACTCCTTGTAAACCATCGTGGTTAATTCTTGTGTAATTCGTCACGATGAGTTAACTGGCGTGCTTATTTCTCGCCTACCATCCCTCACTGGTGGTCTGTCAGCTCATACCGATAGTGCAGGTTAACATTTCGTTTTCATCCATTAAAAAAACTACCTATAATAGGGAGTTTATGTATTACAATCCTATGTATATAATTTTAAAAACTTATGTACATTTTCTTATATTTTTAAGACTTCCTGATAAAATCACGACTATTGTAGGAAAAGACATACATAATGTGTTCATAAAATTTATATATATATATATATATAAACAATCCGTAATCCAAAATTTGAGATATAAATTCACTATGATACGATACACATTTATTAGCCTTTGACAAACTTTTGCTGTATCAAATCGCAGCTCAAAAGTTTTCCATTTGTTTGTGTCATTTGTCACACAAACTTTTGAATCTATAAACAAGAACAGTATCATGAAAATCATTGAATACGTTATATTTTATCGTAAATATTGTTACTGTAAGGTCTGAAATAATCTAAAATATATCTACATAAATAAGATTTTAAATTTTACACGCCATTAAAATAATGAATGAATAAGTATACTTTATTTGCATTATACAATATAGGAAATAAGCAAGACAATTTACGAATACAACGATACAATTGTATAAGTACAGTAAGGCGGTCTTACTGCTGAGAGCAATCCTTTCAAGACAACCTTAAGGTAATGGACTAATTGTTGTACAAGTAGGTATGATAGTGCTGTATCATTAAAAAAGCATCTTTTGCAAATTAAAAATATATAAAAATTATATACATATATACACACACACATATATACACATAAAATAATGTGATTCTATAACATTGAATAAGATTTATTTGTACCATATTTATTAAAATAAATAATTATTATAGTAGAGCAAGTTTTACTAAAACGAATCTATTTCAAACAGTCGTTTAAATTAAGCAAAATGAAGTTTAAAATGTACATTACATTTCTAATCGCGTGAAGGTTGAGAATAAATCGTAGTAAACATATTTACATACGTGCAACGCGGAAGCCAGACATTAGAGGTTATAGTAAATTTTGCATGTATATTCACAATGACGCACTATGCAATTCTAAATCGCTAATAATAGATAATAATAATATTTCTTTATTACAGATAACTAAGATCTATTTTTGTTAGTAACATGTGACTTAAACTATGTTAGTAGAAAAAAATACAAAACAATGTTATGGCTACCACTAAACATAAGCGTTCCTCATAAGGAGAATTTTGCCAGTAGTTTTTTTTTATACAACTTAGAATGGCAAACAAGCTGACGGCCCACCTGATGGAAAGTGGTAACCGTCGCCTATAGACATGAGCAGTACCATGGACGTAACAGAGTATACTGTTTCGCCCGTGATACCCCCCATGTGTTGCCATTCCTGACTTTTGTACAAAGTCTCTAGTAAAGTTGCCACGCTTGGTAGGCGGGTTAGCAAGGTATCTCTAGGTGACTATTCTTTACTAGTATTTATTTTTCAATAATATGATAAAATGCAAGTGTTTGTTTGTTTGAATGCGATAGGTAATCTAAGAAAATTCGAATTTGAAAAAATCTTTTATATTTGCTAGCTCATTTCTTAAGAAGAATTACGTGTAATTACTTATATTGTTACTTGTATTACGCGTACAAAATTTTGAACAATACAGAGGTTATAAGGGGAAATGGATTGTTAGTAATGGGGTTTATTGGCCCCATTGCTAACAAGTTACCCTATCAGATCGACCTACACACGGTTCCCCCTGGAAACCATTGTGATTGTCTTGCTAAATTTGTCACAATGGGCTAATTGACTTGATTTTATCCTGTAAATTCACTGTCACATCCAAGGGATTGTTAGTAATAGAGGCTAAAAATCCCATTGCTAGCAATATACCCAACCAGGTCGACCTCCTCGCGGTTCCCCCCTGGAAACTATCATCGTTAATTCCTGATGAATTCATCATGTTGGGCTAAGTGTCCTGTTTTCATTCTCATCTATCAACTCTCACTGGTGCCCCGCCAGTGTATACCGATAGCGCAGGCGGAGTTACCGTTTCATTTTCACCCATAAAAAAATAAAAATACTATTCAATATTCTGATTGGAGCACGGGCGAAGTCATGGAGCACAGATAATTACATAAATATAAATCTCTATCGACTTACACAGAAGGATCAGCACAAAGAGCACGCTGGTGAAGGCTGCGACGATGTAGAACATCAGCTGGAAGTCAGCGCCGATCTCCTCGATGGTGCCTTGCGCGCGGACCAGCATCGGCGGAAGGAAGAACCCGACTGCGACACCCAACTGTCCAGAAATACCATAAAGAATTAAATTCCAATTAATTATTTCACTTCACGTTCTTTTACGTTATTTAGATAATGGGTACGAAACCCGAATGATTCAATTTATGAAAGGAACTAAACTCTACGCGATCTGCCTTGGAAGTCATCGTGATCCTGGTAAATGGGTTACCATAAATCAATTGATCTTTATTTAATACCCCTCACTAGTACTCTGCCAGTGTATACCAATAGCGAAGGCTGAATTATGATACCATTATTATCTATTTAAAAAAAAACCTTTAATTATACGTAGATTAAATTCATTCAATTAACATTTAAAACACGCCATATTAAAACCAATACTGCGCAACAAGTTATTCATATATACTGTTTACTTGATGTGGGCGACAAAGGAAACCAGGAATGGAAATTGGAAATATATGTATAATGGTCAAAGGAACTTAGAAGACTAGGGTCGTGAAGGTAAACCAAAAGGAAACAATAGATATGCGTATCAATTTCGAATTTGGTAAATAATAATATCTAATATATAAAATTCTCGTGTCGCGGTGTTTGTTACCGAACTCCTCCGAAATGGCTTTACCGATTTTTATCAAATTTTGTGTGCATATTGGGTAGATCTGAGAATCGGCCAACATCTATTTTTCATACCCCTCAATGATAAGGGTGACCCAACCCTAAATATATTTTTTTTAATTTTTAAAAATTTATTTTTAATTTTATTTTATTATGATTTAGCATTCAAAAATACATACAATTTCAAATTTTCACTTTTTTACGATCAACCCCTATTTTTTAATAGCGATTTTTATATGCCACAATAGGGTTACAAGATAGCTATCGAATATAATAATTGTAGTACGATAAATTTTCATGTACAGTTCTAGAAATAATGTAATATGGTAAAACAACACATGCCGAGTCAGCTAGTATAGCTATAAATAATATATGTGGCCTGTACTCCACACTTGATATATTTACATAATGTATTTCTCTAAGTTCATAATGTTTATTGTACTTACATAGACTGGGAAATCCCTATATAAAATTACTATATATTAGGTAAAGAAAAACAGTTGTATATAGGTATAATTTATCAGTCAAAACATTATGTTGAATTTATACTTGAACACTTTTTTTAACACAAACTTTAATTGTGTTAAAAAAAACCGACTTTAATTGTAGCAAGAGTAGTTAATTTGATTAAATAAAAACTAAACTTAAACCGAATCGGTTTTAATAAAATGTCTATGGGACCAATTTGTAAGTATACGCTTTTAGATAAAAAAGGAATTTTCCAAATCAGTTTACAACTAACGGAGTTATGGGATAAAATATAGAAAAATCTGAATGAATAACCACCTTCTTTTTGAAGTCGGTTGATAAGAAAATGATGGAAGTAACAACTACTACAATAATGTCTTATATTATTATATATGGCGGTTGACTGGTAGAGAATGCCATCAGGCATTTAAGTTCGCCCTGTAGACATTTTTCAATGTGTGCAAAAGTATAAATAAATCAGTTATTTTGAAAAACGAAACAACTGAACAGGTTTTTTTTTTAATTTCTATGGGACCAATCGGTATATGGTATATCCTTTCAGATAAAAAAAAGAATTCACATGTTTTATCCTTAGTACCCTAGGTCAACTAAGAGAAGTTAACAGTCGAAGAATGGGCAGCAGAGTCTTTATTAAAACATCACGAAAGCCTAACTGCGGTTACCACTACCTGCCATGAATGGCAACTACTGGCAAAGCCCTGGAGGAGGCCTTCGTTCATCAGTGGACAGTAGACAGCTGATATGATGATGATGATGATCCTGGGTAAACCTGTAGCTACATTATGGATGCATTTTTTTTTTGATAAGTGAAAATGGTATGGTAACCCCGCCTGCGCTAACGGGATACGCTAGCGGAGCACCAGTGAAGTGTGATAGATGAGAATGAAAACAGGCCAGTTAACCCATCATGACGAATTCATCAGGAATTAACCATGATAGTTTCCAGGGGGAACCGCGAGGATGTCGACCTGGTTGGGTATATTGCTAGCAATGGGAATCTCAGCCTCCATTACTAACAATCCCTTTCCCCCCATTATGGATGCATTGATTTCACGAAACTACTTGTAAAACAGTTACGTCGTATGCAGATTGTTTCAAATAAACATTCTTTAGTCTAAAATCTAGGTTAAGAATAAATACGTTATCAACTTTCTGATTAGGTACTTGAAATATTTAATTTTACACGCTTGCAATGTAGAATATTTATTATTGTATTGTGATATGGTTTCAGCCTTATTTTACTGGATCAAAAATATTTAATAGTAGACACGGAACTGTAAAGAGGATCATCTTATTAACACTTTTCGAATTTATTATATTTATCTACACAGTTGTATCTACATGACGGATTAATTTTGGTATGATAATTGTTTAAATAAATGTTGATCTTTATTTTTATGTAACTTAGAATGGCAAACAAGCTGACGGCCCATCTGATGGAAAATGGTAACCGTGGCCTATAGACAAGCGGTACCACGAACATAACAGAGTATACTATTTCGGCCATGATATATGTATTTCGCCCCCCATGCGTTACCATTCCTGAGGACTCAGCTGTTTATTCACTGTTATTGTTACCCTGTAAATTCACTGCCATATGCCATATGCCGCACCCTTCAAACCGAAACACAGATATGCAAATACAAGTGCTTCACGGTAGAAACACGAATTTGACAGAGGTGCCCGAGCAAACGACTTTTGTACAAAGTCTCCATGGGGTAAAATTTTAAATTTTTTTAGGTTGTTCTTTTAACTGCGTTTTTTATAAAATTAGATTAGTACTTATATTGCGTATTTACTAATCTGCACGGTTCCTTATGAGATGCGTAAAAATGCTAAGAATTTATACATAGATTCCTTTCCCAATTGACTTTTTCAAGTCTCATGCCATACAAAGATATTAATGATCTGTTATAGTATAAATACTTCCAGAGAACCTTCTCATAGAACTAATTTGATGTTTGTATGTATCTATTACTAGATTGATATTCTTTTTTTTTTATACAACTTAGAATGGCAAACAAGCTGACGGCCCACCTGATGGAAAGTGGTAACCGTCGCCTATAGACATGAGCAGTACCATGCACATAACAGAGTATACTGTTTCGCCCATGATACCCCCCATACGTTGCCATTCCTGAGGACTCAGGTGTTATTCCTCTGTACCCTGTAAATTCATGCCACTTTATTATAGTTATTCACTTACAATAGTCTGCATAAAATAAATTAATATATTCTAATATAAATTAATTTGTCCTAATATGTTTTATTAGCATGAGAACAGTTTTAAGGATTGTTACCGATTTCACTCCCTATATGTTATTTTACACTTGTCTTCCAAATATAAAAAAAAATCCTATAAGCGAGTCCACAACGGCTAAATTGAAGATATTTTTAGAATACCGCGTTGATTTAATAAAAAAAATATCGACCAGAAAAAGGAAAATCACTCGAGATTCAGCGATATCAATGTGATTTATTCATGATATTTTTTTATTATCTGAGAACAATTTTCCTCAATATCGTTTCAAAGAGAGCACCGGAATCGTGGGAAGAAGGATTTGTAACCGGTATTTATTTGCATATAAAAGCTTTAACTCAATTGACCGGAACATTCTCGAGTAAGGCAATACTTTCACATTTCTCTCTTTTGTTATGGATTTGCTGTATTATACCATTTTGGAAGTAAAATATTATACCTTTTTTTTAAATGGATGATAATGGAATAGTAACATAACAGGTAGCAGCGTCCTTCTTAAAATATCTCCAAAACCTAACAGTGGTTACCAATCCGCCTGCCAAGCGTGGCACTACTGGCGAATCCCCCAATAGAGGGAGGCTTGTGTTCAGCAGTGAACAATTAGCCGCTAATATGGTGTCTACAATTAATGCATACTATACACATTTAAAATATTTCATTAAAATTTGCTAAAAAGACTTCCAGTTTCAAAAAACTAATGTTCTCAATTTTTACGATACGTATATGATATCTAAACCAATTTCACGATTTTTTAGCAATTAACAAAAAAAAAAAGTATTATTCCCTTATTGCCTTATTTTCAGTTTGTGACTGAAGATGTAGTAGAATTGTAAACACGCAATTCCATATTTTAAATTTAAATATTTTCGATGTAGATTTATTTATTTATTGTACAAAGTGTACTGCGTCAAGTAAAAAATAATAATTACAATTAATTTTAATGAGACGTGATACAAAAGACGGCCTTATCGCTAAGCAATCTCTTCCAGACAACCTTTGGGTAGAGGACATTGAGAAAAAGACAAAGGGTAGATGGCGCACAATTATATAAATACTAATGTATACAAATATACATATATAAAACAAATAATATATATACAAACATACACATATTTAACAGCACACATACAGCAGGAGAGAATGACGAAGGAAAATAAAGAGTAAACTTAGTAGAAATAGTACTAAAGGGAGAGATAGTAGTATTTAACAGAGGTTTTAGGAATAGAGACAGGTAGTGAGTCCTACAAGCGAACTGCCTGCATAGTAAAGGATTTAGAATAAAAGGTAGAAGAATGAGCGGAAAATTTGAGACGAAGGTAAAATACGGTCATTAGTCGCTATTGTAGGTATTATTAGATTATGAAGTTTATACCGTTTCTGGTTCCATAGAGATTTCATTAAAATTGGTTAAGTAATTTAATTTTAAAATCAAAATATTTATTATAACAGAGAGACACTGTACAAAAGTCGTTTGTTTGGGTACTTCTGTCTCATTCGTGTTTCTACCGTGAAGTAGTTGTATTTTTATGGCTGTGTTTCAGTTTCAAGGGTGGGATATGACAGTGAATTTACAGGGTATAGAGAAATAATACTTGAGTCCTTAGGAATGGCCACACAGTTGGGAGATATCATGGTAGAAACAGTATACTCTGTTATGTCCATGGTGCTGCTCATGT